CCCCCAAAACCCCAAAACCCCAAAACCCCATTTAGCTTAAAATTTATTGAAAATATATTTTATTCTCTCCTCGCTGCATACAGTTTTTCAAGAGATTTAGGGTCTACGATCATCGTCTTATTAATTCTTCTAAGTCTGTTCTTCTTAACTCTAGAAGCTGATGGCCTGATTAGCTTAAAAAGAACTACATTTTCTCCATCAAAGTCCAGCTCAACAATAGAGTCCCGGTGAGAATGGTCTGATGAGGCTAATTTGTCTTGCTCAGAAGGAATGCTAAAGTTTGCAAAATTTAGGAAATCAGATACTTTCTGTAACATTTCACCCTCAGTCATGAAGTCATCAATTCGGTCATCGGATTCTGAGGAGTAAACAGTTCTGACGCTTCCTCAGATCTCTTCAGAATAGCTTACATCACTGAGACTCTTCTTTTTCACCAATTTATATAATATAGGACAATTTAGATGCTTAAGACACTCAAGATCGGGCATGTTATCCAGCTGTGCTTTAGTTTTAGGTGGTTTATTCGCTCTGCTTTCAATGTCAGAGTAATGGTAGGTCCAAATAACATCCATATCCTTACCATAGTTATAAATTTTGTTGGTAAATGTGACATTATTACAACCAAAATCTTCTTCATCAATCATTTTATCAATAAGACTCTCGATGTAACTCTCTTGGATCGGTTGAAGAGAGTCTATCTTTTCCTTAGAATCTTGGGGGTTCATGAACTCTAGCATCTGGCTATAGGATTAGGAATGGAAAAGTACCTGATAGAGTCTCATCTATGGATTGGGTACAAAACTACCCCTTCCTTGTCAGCTAAAGATACCTTTGCAGTCTTCGAGGGATTTATAACTTTTGATTTTGAGCATGATCCTACATTCTATATATAATTCACCTAATGAATAATATTACCTTCTGAGGAGAAGAGGTCTGATAGGTTGTTGAAGATGCTCTATGACACTTTCTGTTATTTCAATCCTGTATCTTCTGGCCAGGTGGCTTCTATATTTCAGGGTATTAAAAATTAACTTTTCATCCAAAAATATTACAATTGCTTAAATATAAGTAAGTAAAATTCACTCCTTTCATTAGGGTAGTACAACTTAGAGTGAATTAGGACATACCTTCTTACTACTAGAATTAATTTCTGTCATAGCTTGAGTAGCCTTAGGGCTCTTTAAAACATTCTCGTAATTTTTGGTGCAGAAGTATGCCTCTTTGTGACTATATTTCACCATAAAAAGCACGATTATTTACCTTTTAATTTCTGTTCCTGCAAATTCATGTTGGTCTTTAAAGGCTTTCAGAGAGTTACGAGTGTCTATGCAGAGTTATTAAAACTGTTAGATTGATAACTTACAATTTGTCTTAATTTTTTTGTTGCTTTTCCTCACATGTGAAGCAACTGTTCTGCTCTCAATCTTATGGTCAGGTATAAACTCCATATCTCACACTATAATATTGCAAAATTTTATTATCAATTCTCTGATAATTTTTAGGGGTTTTGGGGTTTTGGGGTTTTGGGGTTTTGGGGTTTTGGGG